GCGCCTGCATAAATCAGTGCGGGGCCCAGAATGCACCGCGCGGGGAGGCTCGGGCGCTCCTGCCCTCCTTCCCCACCGCCCTGGGCCGCGGGTTCGAGACCCGCTCCCCCGGGCTGGGCGAGCGCCCTTTCCCTTCCCCTACAAGCGATACTCCCACCCCCCACGGGTGTCCGCCCGAAAGGAGGGCTGCCACGTCTCTGGAGCAGAGCCCCGGGGTAGGAGGCGTGCTCGCTGAGGGCTGAGCAACAGGGCAGGACCGGAGTCATCACCGCTGCCTGTGCCAGAGTCGTCCCGCAATCGCAGTCCTTCCCGGGCCTGCGTGTCGCGGCATGGCCCTGCCAGGCGGGTCTGCCCGCTCCTGCCTACAGCGTGCTGCCTGCTGCGGGCATCGCAAGCTGAGCAGGAGCTGGGCCCTGCCCCGATCCCTCAGCCCGCTCCCATCGCTTCGGCCTGCTCTCTCATCCTGGACCTGCTCCCCTGGCCTCAGCCCACCGCCAGTGCCCTCCACCTGCACCCTTGCAGCGTGCACTCAAAAATATTTGGCGGGTGGTGGTGGTAGGCCATGTGTTCAAGCCTTACGGCTGGCAGAGCTGTGAGGTGATGGTTTTAACCAATTTAACGGTGTGACTAGCGGCTCTCTGGTGTGTAAAGCAGCTGGAGGAGCCAACGCCTGACTGGGTCTGCGGGCCACAGAGAACAACAGTTGAAGCGGTGTAATGAGCCGTCTTCCACCACGAATGCAGAGAAGGTCTGTGTGCTGTCCAAAGGCCCGGCGTGGGCGACGAAGGCTTCTCCCGCCTCGCCCTGTGAGGACGCGGTGGCACTGTGTCCCCAGCACAGCTCCAGCGAGGGGTGACTTCGCCGGCGTAGCTTATTCCCCACAGGAAACGGGCTTTGGCTACACTGACAAAAGAACTGTTTTTTTTCCTGTGTAAGCTGTTTCCAAAATGGCATATAAATGTTTTCCACTTGTGTTTATACAGCTTTTACTCTGTTCCTGGATGATCGTGTTGCTAAAATTTTTTCCATGCACCTGAGTAAGGTTGGAGTTTGTAGGCAAAGCTTAGAAATATCTCTTTTCTCTCTTCTTTTTGTGTCAGTACTATGAATAAAGCATTTGCATTTTGGACCCTACTCTTGCTTCTATAGTGGAAAGCTCTGAAAAGCATCATGGGCCAGTTACACAGACAGAGGCACATCATGCCAAAAAGCAGCAGTCCCTGCACTGGAGGTCGTGCAGTTTTGTGACTGGATTATATGACACTTAATTTGTAAACACAACATATCGACACCTAGCACTGGATAGAAAGGATTGTTAATGAGTCACTCTTTCTTCCCCCAAATATGAAAATCTTTACAATTTGAATTTACTACATTGTGCTCTTGCCCTTTGGTATTTGAGCCTTTAGGGTGAATTCAGGCCACATTTTTAAGCTTTTCCTCTATAGCCATGAGGTCTAGGGTTTTTTTTTCCCCTCCTGAAGTTTTGGATATAATCACATGACTCTGGGAGGTGGAACTTTAAGGAAAAAGCCAAATATTATAAGGCACATTCAAATCACGAGTTCTGCCAAATACTGGGTAGCACAGGTTTAACGCTGAGTAATACACCATTGAAGTGTAACTGAATAAATACTGAGATCTGACTTTTCGATATAGAAACAGTAGCAAAAAAAATTCCCAAATCAATTGTCCTCTTCCTGAGGAAACCTCCCAATATTATGAATTAGCCTGTGCTGTCAAATAGTCTCAGTAAAGCTCAATGCTATTATTTATAAGCTTTGATATATTTAGAAACTTATAAGCTTCGATTTTAACATAAACTACTTAAAATTATCATGGGATGGGAGGAAGGAAGGCATCATCCACTTGGCCCTCTCCTTCAACCTGCTACTGAGGGTTTAACCCACACTGAGGGTTTCTTTCACAGAATTCGCATTAAGGTAGAACTATCAGCAAAATCTGGGCCATGCTTATGAATCATAGCAACGTATTTCTGGGTGTCAAATGAAGGTAGTTACTTAATGCTTAAAACTAGGTCCTGAAGATTACCTTGAACGTAATCAGCTCTTTATTTCTAAGCACATTTCTACAGATAAATGCTTCTATTTCATTGCCCCAAACTCTCTCTTTACCCGCATCAACAAAGTTGTCTTCTGTAACTCGCATGCAATTCATCGACGACTGTATTCCTTATACAGTACAGGTGCTGATTTTGTCTGATTCTTTAAAGAAAACAAAAATACCCTGCCAGCTTGACCTGCTTGTTGAAAAGTTAAGCAAACCACTAGTAAAAATACTTAAACTCTTCATTTGCAAGTGAAAAATAAATCCAGTTTTCTAAGTGTGGTTGCAAATACATAGCATGAAAATGTATTGGCAGAAGAGCAGAGATGGTATCTCCTTACCTCTCAGACTAGGGTTTCAGATAATTCTTTCCTTCCTCTATAATGCAATATTTAGGAGGGTAATATAAAATATAAATAAGTCAAACTGATACCAATCTAATAAAGTGAGACTTTAAAAACTGAAAAGCGTTTTAAAAAATCAAAGAAATTCCTCTTGCTTATTATTTTAAGAAAAATTATAGTAACTTTTTTCAAGATTAAAGTTTTCCCCCCTGCCATCTTCATTTTGTTGTCACTTATACTGCAAGTCTAGTATCAAAGTGACAGCCTGCTTAATTTTTAGCAGAAAGCCCTCAATATTGAAAATTACTGATTTCATTGTGAAATCATTTATGAATAATAGTCTAGACACCAGCTCTTCAGATAATGCCCTGAAGGCAAAATAGTCTTTCCACCTGTACTGGCAGAACAGCCATTTCGGACATTACATCCACTGCTCTGCTCTAGGTCCAGTTTATACAGTTTCTAGATTTCATGCTTACACTTGCACAAAAAATACTTTTGAAGCAAAGAAGAGCATTACATGTTAATTCTGAGAGGAGGAAAACCATATTTTACAGACAAACTGGTAAAGGTATATTAAGAAATGCTCATTTTTCTATCATTCTCCAAATGGAGACCTGCAACTGAACTATACTGCCTGAACTATTGCATGATGAAGTTTTAAATAAAATGTGCAGGCGTAACAATTAAAGTATGCTAAAATAAGCTACCATCAACTGATTGCAATCAGGTATTTCTTAGGCTTCTTTATTACCAGAAAAGCAACATTTTTTCCACTGACAACGAAGAGCCTGGAATTTCATCCCAGCCGAAGTCTCCACACTGCAGTTGCTTCAATGAATTCAGAAATTTATTTCAGAATTCAGAATTTTATTCAGAATTCCGAAGGGAACAATTTGTAGGATTGGGACCATAACTACTTTTCGAAAAGAAATTGAAAATCTACAAAACCTACCCATTTCAAAATATTTTCAAGAATTTAAGGGAAATATCTTGTTGCCATTAGTTGACAAGCAATGAACAGTTCCAGCATGGCAGCAGAGATCTGAATCTGAGAGCCAGCGTAAGCAACTGGTTCCCAGTGCTGAGGTTTTCCCTGTGGCAGGGTCACTGCCGAGCACCAAGTCTTCACTGCAGACTTCACCTTCATTATAGGTTGTGCCTTGCCCCTTCCTAAACTGCGGTCTGAATTTTTGTTCCCTGTAAATATGTTTCTCGGGTGCGTCAGGGGTGGTGGTGAGGGCGATGGAGTCATGAGATACCTTTACAGATAGGACAGTGTTCATTATTTTGTCCTCATCCTTTGGGAGTCAGAGTTCAAATGGGTTGAAACTGTTTGACCTGGCTCTGCCTAATCAATGTTGCAAGTCAAGGAAGTCCTTCCACGTCGGAATTCAGGTGGACAGTGCATGCCAGGAAAGGCAAAATCCTCACCTTTCATCTCGATTACTTTTGCTGTACCACTTCTGTGGATAAAGAGGACTTCAGTCTAAGGAGCTGTCCGGGCAGCATCTTCAAAATAAAGTGTTCAAGCAAAACCAAAACAAGGCTGAAAAATAAAGTGGAATTTACAGCTGCATGAACAAACACAATTTCACTTCAACTCATCACACATAAAAAATGAAAAGCAATAACATTAGTAGAAAGAATCTGGCCTGATTTGATTTTTGTTTAACATATGAGTCAAATGGAGACTTTGTGAATGTGAGGGCAAAAGGTTAAACACCGTAATAGGCACAGAATTTAGAATCTCTATAGAATTTGATAGAATCTCTATCAAACTGGACA